CGAGTAGACAGTTGTTGGTTCCGATTCCGCCTTCTAATTTTCCTTCTGACTCCAATTCTATCGTCACTGTTGGTTCTGAAATTTATGTGATCGGCGGACCCATCGACGGAGAACCGTCCTCCGCCGTACGAATCCTGGATTGTCGCAGTCACACTTGGAGCGATGCACCTAGCATGAATGTAGCCCGGAAGAATGCTGCCTCATGTGTCTACGACGGAAAGATATATGTAATGGGAGGATGCAAAGGATTAGAGGAGGATGAACCATGGGCTGAGGTATTCGACACAAAGACTCAGACTTGGGAACGCCTCTCCGATCCGGGTACTGAAATACGTGAGTGTGAGATCAGAGATTGAAGGAAAGATTGAGTTTGGGAACTTAATGAGAATGTATGCTTACGACACAAAGCAAGGTAAATGGGAACAGTGCGAAAACAAGACTGTGTTTATGAGGTCACAATGTGTGTTGGAGAAAGTATCGTATTTCTATTCTATCAACAAGATTATCTCGGGGTGTGACATAAAGGATGGAAGAAATTGGATAGATGATAAAGGGTTAGACTCACTAGCAGATAAGCGCATGAAGAATTGGGGCTCAACTTTTATGATGCCCAGATTAGTTAGTTGTGGTGGGAGAATCTTATGTATTCGGGAAGAGTGGATGAAGCATAGCAAGAAGATTTGGTGCGCTGAAATCAAAGTGGAAAATTGAGGTGAAATCAAATCAAAATGGAGGTGAGGTTTGGGGAAAGATTGAGTGGGATGATGTTGTGCTTACCATCCCCACTTCACGTTACCTCTCGCGTTGTCTAGCTGTCTCCGTTTGATTGACTTGTATCCAAGGTATGATCAACTGTTTTGAATTCAACATCGGTTTGTAAAATCCAATGAATAAAACATATATTGTGAAGTATCTATATACATATAGGGGAAAAAAGTTGTTTTAATCCTCAACTTTTGCAGAATACATCCATGTGTGGTCAATGCCCCTAGCTATAAGTCTTGAACTTTCTTTCTTACACTTCTGCTTTGTTGATTTTGAGGCGATTTGTCGTCATGAATGAGGATTATAGAGACTGCATTGTAGTACTAGACCAACCTTTGGTGGGATTAAACTTCTGTTTTAATGAAAAGATTCATGCTTGTTTTATACGAATTGCAATTATAAAGAAGAAAACTATTCCCATGTATACATTAATGTTTGTAGTATGCATAATATGAAAAAAAAATTATTGACCAGGACGAGAAAGAAAGGAGAAGGTAGCAGAAGCAAAAGGAGAGCAACGTGAAGGAGATGGAAATAGTGCGTTAGTTAAGTTTACAGTTACGTTTGTGAACTTCATTTTGTCAAACTAGCTACGAAAACTTTCAGTATTTTGCCTTCGGATATGTTTTCATCTTGTCAAACTAGCTACGGCAAATTGGTATTTGTCTTTGGTTATATTTATCTAATCCTTTGTTGAAGACGCATATGATTCATTGTTTTGTGCTATCATTCTGGTTATTGAGTCTTTTCTTTTCTAAAAAGCAGAGATGTCATAGAAAACCAAAAATCCATTCTCTCTGTTTTAAATCTTTTTTCTTTATAACAAATGTGTTTTGTTGAACTGCATGAAGCATTAGATAGATGATGCCAGGAGATTCGTGAAACACATCGGTACAACGCTTATAAGATTCTATGGGTTAACTGGTTCGAACCCCTACTTTCATCGAAACTGAACAGCATATAAAGAAGAACAATATGTTATGTTAAAACATCGATGTAGGTTTTTGTGGTCAATTTCAAATGCAATAAGAAACTCCTAAGGGAGTATCCCAGTCTGTTCAACTACACGAAAGACGTTGAACATGAATTTGTGTTTGTGTTTGTGTTTGTTGAGCATAATCTTCTTCCCCTTCCTGAAATCACATTGAAACTTTGAAGCTTTTGTGAAATTTCCAATCTTGCTTCGCCTCGAGGACTCAATATCTTCTTTTTTTCGAAGCAAAACTTTGTCCTGATTGTTGGTTTATCACTGCGGTATTGAGTATCTTGAGCATGAACTAAAAAAAGGAAGGGCTTAAGTGATAAAAAAAAAAAACACATTGGGTTTTTATCTGAAATAATATGTCCATTTCCATAAGAATCCCAAGTTGTCACCACAAATACTTGCGTGTTAGAGACGAACAATTTAACTTTCTTTGGGGTGAAGTATTGAAAACATATCTTGACAACTATACAGATCGAGTTTATATTATTGTTATTATCCAACTTTTGAAATCTTGCATTATCCAATTTGTGAAATCTTGCGTTATCCATTTATTGGGCTTGATGATTGATCCATATGATTATAAAATTCTTTTATTTTTCTCGCTCCTTAACTTGTACGGCTTATTTTACAAAG